ATGAAGCCTATTTTAGGCAGGCAAATTAAATCAATAATAAATATTATTTATTTTCATTAACAGCCTCATAATTAATATATTTAATAATATTTTCAATATGTTTATTTAATTGTAAATTATTGTATTTTTTTTCAAATTAAATATGCCATTAATTAATTGCTATAATAAGGGGGATAACTATCATTTAAAAACTGCAACATACAGTTGGGCGCTTAACAGGAATTAGTTAATAGTTCGCTGAAAGCATAACAACAACAACAGTACTTGAAATTATTAATTATTAATTTTAAAGTGGACATTGAGTGATCTGTAAAAAAAGTTTAATTAAATTTTGTTATTACTTTAAAATATCACAAATATATCATTATGAAAACTATATTAATTTAAAGTTAAAAAAAAAGATTCTCGGAACAGTTTCGAATTTTTTGAAAAATAATATTAAACATGTGAATTTGTTTGGCAAATTTCACATCAATATTAATTTATTCAACCCTAAACAACCACAAGTGAAATGTTCACTTCCCTTGAAATTAAATTTGTTATCGTGATATTCCCTTGAACTGTTCATTCATAATAGTTTGTTCGTAACACAGCTGTTTATTAATTAGAAAATTCCATAGATTTCTCAACATTTGATTTTTACAAGTGAACAAAACAAATCAATCGAATTTTCACTAAAAATCGAATTTAGACTACAATCTCAAAATTGCTTTAGAAAGTGGAATTTAATAAAAAAAAAAGATAATTTTTATTGAACATTTTAAAATTTATCAAAAATTTACATTTCCACTAAAAAATGAGTTCAGTTTAGTTCTAGTACAGTACTAGTTCAGTTCTAATTCTGTTCTAAATCTGTTCTAGTTCTGTTTTAGTTTTGTTCTAGTTCTGTTCTAGTTCTGTTCTAGTTCTGTTCTAGTTCTGTTCTAGTTCTGTTCTAATTCTGTTCTAGTTCTGTTCTAGTTTTGTTCTAGTTCTGTTCTAGTTATGTTCTAGTTCTGTTCTAGTTCTGTTCTAGTTCTCTTCTAGTTCTGTTTTAATTCTGTTCTAGTTGAGTTCTAGTTCAGTTCTAGTTGAGTTCTAGTTCAGTTCTAGTTCAGTTCTAGTTCAGTTCTAGTTCAGTTCTAGTTCAGTTCTAGTTCAGTTCTAGTTCAGTTCTAGTTCAGTTCTAGTTCAGTTCTAGTTCAGTTCTAGTTCAGTTCTAGTTCAGTTCTAGTTCAGTTCTAGTTCAGTTCTAGTTCTGTTCTAGTTCTGTTCTAGTTCTGTTCTAGTTCTGTTCTAATTCTGTTCTAGTTCTGTTCTAGTTTTGTTCTAGTTCTGTTCTAGTTCTGTTCTAGTTCTGTTCTAGTTCTGTTCTAGTTCTGTTCTAGTTCTGTTCTAGTTCTGTTCTAATTCTGTTCTAGTTCTGTTCTAGTTTTGTTCTAGTTCTGTTCTAGTTCTGTTCTAGTTCTGTTCTAGTTCTCTTCTAGTTCTGTTTTAATTCTGTTCTAGTTGAGTTCTAGTTCAGTTCTAGTGCAGTTCTAGTTCAGTTCTAGTTCAGTTCTAGTTCAGTTCTAGTTCAGTTCTAGTTCAGTTCTAGTTCAGTTCTAGTTCAGTTCTAGTTCAGTTCTAGTTCAGTTCTAGTTCAGTTCTAGTTCAGTTCTAGTTCAGTTCTAGTTCAGTTCTAGTTCAGTTCTAGTTCAGTTCTAGTTCAGTTCTAGTTCAGTTCTAGTTCAGTTCTAGTTCAGTTCTAGTTCAGTTCTAGTTCAGTTCTAGTTCAGTTCTAGTTCAGTTCTAGTTCAGTTCTAGTTCAGTTCTAGTTCAGTTCTAGTTCAGTTCTAGTTCAGTTCTAGTTCAGTTCTAGTTCAGTTCTAGTTCAGTTCTAGTTCAGTTCTAGTTCAGTTCTAGTTCAGTTCTAGTTCAGTTCTAGTTGAGTTCTAGTTGAGTTCTAGTTCAGTTCTAGTTCAGTTCTAGTTCAGTTCTAGTTCAGTTCTAGTTCAGTTCTAGTTCAGTTCTAGTTCAGTTCTAGTTCAGTTCTAGTTCAGTTCTAGTTCAGTTCTAGTTCAGTTCTAGTTCAGTTCTAGTTCAGTTCTAGTTCAGTTCTAGTTCTGTTCTAGTTCTGTTCTAGTTCTGTTCTAGTTCTGTTCTAATTCTGTTCTAGTTCTGTTCTAGTTTTGTTCTAGTTCTGTTCTAGTTCTGTTCTAGTTCTGTTCTAGTTCTGTTCTAATTCTGTTCTAGTTCTGTTCTAGTTTTGTTCTAGTTCTGTTCTAGTTCTGTTCTAGTTCTGTTCTAGTTCTGTTCTAGTTCTGTTCTAGTTCTCTTCTAGTTCTGTTTTTAATTCTGTTCTAGTTGAGTTCTAGTTCAGTTCTAGTTCAGTTCTAGTGCAGTTCTAGTTCAGTTCTAGTTCAGTTCTAGTTCAGTTCTAGTTCAGTTCTAGTTCAGTTCTAGTTCAGTTCTAGTTCAGTTCAGTTCTAGTTCAGTTCTAGTTCAGTTCTAGTTCAGTTCTAGTTCAGTTCTAGTTCAGTTCTAGTTCAGTTCTAGTTCAGTTCTAGTTCAGTTCTAGTTCAGTTCTAGTTCAGTTCTAGTTCAGTTCTAGTTCAGTTCTAGTTCAGTTCTAGTTCAGTTCTAGTTCAGTTCTAGTTCAGTTCTAGTTCAGTTCTAGTTCAGTCTAGTTCAGTTCTAGTTCATGTTCTAGTTCAGTTCTAGTTCTGTTCTAGTTCTGTTCTAGTTCTGTTCTAGTTCTGTTCTAGTTCTGTTCTAGTTCTGTTCTAGTTCTGTTCTAGTTCTGTTCTAGTTCTGTTCTAGTTCTGTTCTAGTTCTGTTCTAGTTCTGTTCTAGTTCTGTTCTAGTTCTGTTCTAGTTCTGTTCTAGTTCTGTTCTAGTTCTGTTCTAGTTCTGTTCTAGTTCTGTTCTAGTTCTGTTCTAGTTCTGTTCTAGTTCTGTTCTAGTTCTGTTCTAGTTCTGTTCTAGTTCTGTTCTAGTTCTAGTTCTGTTCTAGTTCTGTTCTAGTTCTGTTCTAGTTCTGTTCTAGTTCTGTTCTAGTTCTGTTGTAGTTCTGTTCTAGTTCTGTTCTTGTTCTAGTTCTGTTCTAGTTCTAGTTCTAGTTCTGTTCTTGTTCTTGTTCTAGTTCTAGTTCTAGTTCTGTTCTTGTTCTAGTTCTGTTCTAGTTCTGTTCTAGTTCTGTTCTAGTTCTGTTCTAGTTCTGTTCTAGTTCTGTTCTAGTTCTGTTCTAGTTCTGTTCTAGTTCTGTTTTAGTTCTGTTCTAGTTCCAGTTCTGTTCTAGTTCTGTTCTCTTCTGTGTCTGTTATAGTTCTGTTGTAGTTCTAGTTCTGTTGTAGTTCAAGTTCTGTTGTAGTTCTGGTTCTGTTCTAGTTCTGTTTTAATTCTGTTCTAATTTAGTTCAAAACTTCTAATGATGGTACATTAGATTATTTTCTCTTTAAACGTAGACGTACACATTTTTACCTTCCAAACTCATTGTCTTAAGATCCTAAACAAACAAATTCAAAAGTAAATAAACCATTTCATGTAAAAATATTAAAAGTATAGCATACCTTTAAGCTGCTGCGTAATAATCAACATGTTGCCTACTTTTATTCGTAATGAAAAAAAATGTTTTTGACATTTTTGTGTACAAAAAACAAAATCAAAACGACAACAAACATTTCAAATTAAATTAAATTTTATCTATATAATTGTTACGCTCTACATTATGATGATCTCTTTATGACAAACAAGAAAAAATAATCAAAATTTAATTAAATTTTTTCTGCACTTTTTTTTGGGCTGTCATTGTCTCAGTTTTTCTTTTTTTTTATGAAATATTGTATGTTTTTGATGTAAATAATTTTATCTTTATATATTTTTTTTTATTTGTTTGTCTACTTATTTTGTTTAACTTTTGTCATTTTACCGTTTGCTTGTGTATTTTCAGATTAAAACACCAAACAGCAAAGAAAAAACAGGAGCAATATAAGCAGCATTTAAAGAAAAATCTAAAAAAGAAAGAAAACTAGACATCGACGAAAGATCTTTACACGCAGACCCCAACTAAAAGAAGAAGAATAAGCAGCAGCATAAGAAGAAGGCCAAGAAAGTACAAATTTTGTATTTTCTACTTCTCACAGACACTCTTGCCAGCCAGTCAGCCAGCCAAACGAGCCAATCAACACCGCTACAGCCCCAACACGTAAATTTCAAATTTCAAAATATTTTCCTACAAAAGTTTCTGAAACTACTACTACTGCAATAACAACAACAAATATAGCTTGCCTAACATTTTCAAAAATAATTTCAAAAAATAAAAATAGTGAAAAGTGCAGTCAGCCAACAAACAGCAGCCATAGAATTCTTTCGAAGAAACGACACAGACACAATTACAAACACTTGGACAGACAGACAAATAGTTTCATCCTGCAGCTTAAGTAAAATAAAAATTGCAATAAATTCAACAAAAACCAGCAACAACTGTGTGACAAAAAGAAAAAAACTTAAGCATACAATTAACAACACGCGGCAATAGATCTCCTCTAGAATACAACACACTCAAACAGTCATTCAGTCATTTAGATACACTCAGATACAAATAAATAAAAAATCTAAATAAATTCTATAGATATCAAGAAAAGGAACTAAAGAAAGAAACGTCGACTATATAGCAAAAGTAAAAACAAATAAAATATAAAAGAATAAAAGTATCTAAAAATATCTATAAATTTTGTTGAAAATATCACAAAAAAAAAAAAAATCAGCTGAATAACAAACGAACCCATACGTACTTAAATTAAAAGAGTGATACTAAAATAATATATAAAAAATAATATATTTAACGAAAAAATTGGTTGTAAAGCAAAATAAAATACTTAACGAAAAACTCTCACAAAAAAGCAAAAAAAAAAAAAATAAAAATCAAATCGACTTGTTATTTTGAATATTTCAAAAAGAAAATTTATTTTATTAAAACACAAAGAACGATCTCTGCCTAATTATAATATAATATTATTAAATAAAATATTAAAATAACAGTTTGCTACTAAATAAAATAATAAAAAAACCTTGTCATCGAATTGTTAACAATAATTTAAAAAAAGCCATAATTTAAACAAAAATACGGCCGTTATCTAGTTTTTAAAATTTAATACCTTAAAAAAAATATTAGTTTTATTTTTAAAACTCTAGTTAGTTAAACGTAAACGTGCGCAAGTTTTACCAACAAAAGCTCAAAGCTTAAGCTAAGCTTAAAAACCAACCTACAAATAACTTTCATTCACTTACGTAAGCAATATTTTGTTTTTATTATTATAAATTCTAAAATTTAACTGCAACGCCCGCTCTACGCTTCATTTGTGATCAACTGTCAGTCAGTCAGTTCAGTCGAAGCAACAGCACTAGCAGCAGCCAAAAACACTTGTGTTTTTAGCCGCTCATTTGAATTTGTTTGTTGTACGCGTTTTAAAAACACTCTTTCAAAATTCTAACCTTAACAAATTTTAAACTTCAACCACAGCCTATGCATAAAATGGCAGCACCCACTGGAGCAGCGCCCGCCGGCGGGCAATAGAAGGTGCCTTGTCGGCCCCCAAATACGGTACACTGATACCGAATAGAATTTTTGTGGGCGGTATAAGGTAAGTTGTTTTTTTATATCAAAGTATTTTAATTTTTATAAAGCACCAAAAAGTATGCAACATTTTTTATATTTTGTTTAATTCTAGTTTAGTCATAGTACATTTCTAGTTTAGTTCTAATGCAGTTCTAGTTCAGTTCTAGTTCAGTTCTAGTTCAGTTCTAGTTCAGTTCTAGTTCAGTTCTAGTTCAGTTCTAGTTCGTTCTAGTTCAGTTCTAGTTCCTTCTAGTTCAGTTTCTAGGTCAGGTCTAGTTCAGTTCTAGTTCAGTGCTAGTTCAGTTCTAGTTCAGTCAGTTCAGTTCTAGTTCAGTTCAGTTCTAGTTCAGTTCTAGTTCAGTTCTAGTTCAGTTCTAGTTCAGTTCTAGTTCAGTTCTAGTTCAGTTCTAGTTCAGTTCTAGTTTCAGTTCTAGTTCAGTTCTAGTTCAGTTCTAGTTCAGTCTAGTTCAGTTCTAGTTCAGTTCTAGATTCAGTTCTAGTTCAGTTCTAGTTCAGTTCTAGTTCAGTTCTAGTTCAGTCTAGTTCAGTTCTAGTTCAGTTCTAGTTCAGTTCTAGTTCAGTTCTAGTTCAGTTCTAGTTCAGTTCTAGTTAGTTCTAGTTCAGTTCTAGTTCAGTTCTAGTTCAGTTCTAGTTCAGTTCTAGTTCAGTTCTAGTTCAGTTCTAGTTCAGTTCTAGTTCAGTTCTAGTTCATTCTAGTTCAGTTCTAGTTCAGTTCTAGTTCAGTTCTAGTTCAGTTCTAGTTCAGTTCTAGTTCAGTTCTAGTTCAGTTCTAGTTCAGTTCTAGTTCAGTTCTAGTTCAGTTCTAGTTCAGTTCTAGTTCAGTTCTAGTTCAGTTTTCAGTTCTAGTTCAGTTCTAGTTCAGTTCTAGTTTCTAGTTCTAGTTCATTCTAGTTATCTAGTTCATTCTAGTTCAGTTCTAGTTCAGTTCTAGTTCAGTTCTAGTTCAGTTCTAGTTCAGTTTTAGTTCAGTTCTAGTTGAGTTCTAGTTGAGTTCTAGTTCAGTTCTAGTTGAGTTCTAGTTCAGTCCTAGTTCAGTTCTAGTTCAGTTCTAGTTCAGTTCTAGTTTAGATCTAGTTCAGTTCTAGTTCAGTTCTAGATCAGTTCTAGTTGAGTTCTAGTTGAGTTCTAGTTGAGTTCTAGTTGAGTTCTAGTTGAGTTCTAGTTTTAGTTCTACTTTAGTTCTACTTCAGTTCTAGTTCAGTTCTAATTCAGTTCTAGTTCAGTTTCTAATTCAGTTCTAGCTCAGTTCTAGTTTAGTTCTAGCTCAGTTCTAGTTCAGTTCTAAGTCAGTTCTAATTCAGTTCTAGTTCAGTTCTAGTTCAGTTCTAGTTCAGTTCTAGTTCAGTTCTTGTTCAGTTCTAGTTCAGTTCTAGTTCAGTTCTAGTTCAGTTCTAGTTCAGTTCTAGTTCAGTTCTAGTTCAGTTCTAGTTCAGTTCTAGTTCAGTTCTAGTTCTAGTTCAGTTCTAGTTCTAGTTCAGTTCTAGTTCAGTTCTAGTTCAGTTCTAGTTCAGTTCTAGTTCAGTTCTAGTTCAGTTCTAGTTCAGTTCTAGTTCAGTTCTAGTTCAGTTCTAGTTCAGTTCTAGTTCAGTTCTAGTTCAGTTCTAGTTCAGTTCTTGTTTAGTTCCAGTTCAGTTCTAGTTTAGTTCTAGTTTAGTTCTAGTTTAGTTATAGTTCAGTTATAGTTTAGTCTTAATTCGGTTGTTTTTAGGATTGTTAACAAAGTTATTAAGAATATTTAAAAACCTAATTTTTTCCCCAAATTCTTTTCAGTGGCGACACAACAGAATCCGATTTGTGTCGTGTCTTCTCCGCCTATGGTAATGTTAAGTCCACAAAGATCATAGTGGATCGTGCTGGAGTTAGTAAAGGTTACGGATTTGTTACTTTTGAAACGGAACAGGAAGCTCAAAGGCTGCAAACCGATGTAAGTTTTTTCAATTTCATTTAAGCTTTAGCACTCTCTCTATCTGTCTTTCTATATTTTTCTAACTTTTACACAAACCTTTTGAAAGTAAACATGATAATGATTTGAAAATACAAAAAATTAATTAAATTTTGAAAAAAAAAATTGTATAACAATAATGAATTTATTAATCGTAACCAATTGTATTTTTTTTATTTCTTATTTATTTATTTTTATTTTTTTTTTAACCTACACACACTACTATACTCCTACTATCTCACTCAACGTTTTTTAAATCCAAATAAAAAACAAAACCCCATCAAATAAATAGGATAAAATAACTTGACAAACAAAATAAAACCAATAATAAAAAAAACTGAAAGATTGAACAGAAATCTCGAGTAAGAACTACTTGAGATTTAGAGGCTCTTCAAAAGTATAACCGTTTGTGCACCGTGTGTGTGAGTGTGTGAAAAACGCATCGAAATTGTTAAATCGATTCGTAATGTTAAAAACTCTAAAAACTCAAATCGCAAAACAATACAGGGAAGCCCAATGTTTTATAAACATTTCGTTTTCGTTTCTTTTTTGAAAATTTCTTGTTACAAGTTCCATTTAATTATTTAATTTTTCTTTTTAATTTTTATTTACTGGTTTCTTTCTTAATTTATTGAGTTTTAATAATAATATTACTTTTTTTTAATAATTCGTTAAATTCGTTCAAATTCGTTAATATTATTAATACTTACAATAAAAAAAAAAACAAAATTGTTGTGTTTATAGTTTTTATTAGAAAAAAATCAGCGTTTGTTTAAACAAAATTTTATTGAATTGTTGCAAATCAAATAAATATTAAAACCCCTTAAAAAACGAAAAAAAAAAACTTTGTTCAACATTTTAATTTTAATTTGTTTTTCTAATATAATTTTTGTCTTTGTTGCGTTCTTACGTTTCGTCACGGTTAACAGTGTTAATTGGTTTTGGTTTATTTTTAATTAATTATTTATAATTTTTGTGTGTGCGTTATTTTTTCTTCTGTCTTTTTTTTAAATAATTGCTGCTATAAAAACCGCAATTAAGGCATTAATGGTTATTCAAAAGTTGTACTGAAAACAAAGTTCTACTAAAATCCAGCAAAAAAACAAAAACTGAAAATTATGCTTCGCTTTTAAGTCAGTCTAATAATAATTGTGTTGACCCGAAACTTGTGTTTTAAATGAAAAAGTATTTGATTTTTTTGTTGTTTCTTCTTGTTGTGGTTAAATAATTACTAAAAAAAATGCTTTGATTGTAGGCCAGATTTATAGTGCAAATTTGTGTTTTATTATAGTTATGTATATTTACTTTCTACATTATGTATTTGTTAAACTTGGATTAAAAAAATGTGGTTTAAAACAATTAAATCTGTCGAAATAAGACAACTAAACACTTGATTTTTCTTTGAACTTATCAATTCTAGATTTAGTTCAGTATTAAATCGGTTCTTGTTTAGTTATAGTCCTGTTGTAAATCAATTCGTGTTCAGTTTTATATTATTTTAGGTTAGTTCGAAATTAGCTAGAAGTAAGTTTTAGTTTAATACTAGATCTCTTTAATATAGCTCTAGTTTAATCCTAGATCAGTTTGACTTTAGTTCTAGACCGGTTCTAGTTTAGTCCTATGTAGGTTTTAGTTTATTATTAAATTCTAGTTTAGTTCTAATTAAGTTCTAGTTCTAATTCAGTTCTAGTTCAGTTCTGGTTTAGTTCTAGTTCAGTTCTAGTTCAGTTCTAGTTCAGTTCTAGTTCAGTTCTAGTTCAGTTCTGGTTTAGTTCTAGTTCAGTTCTAGTTCAGTTCTTCTAGTTCAGTTCTAGTTCAGTTCTAGTTCAGTTCTAGTTCAGTTCTAGTTCAGTTCTAGTTCAGTTCTAGTTCAGTTCTAGTTCAGTTCTAGTTCAGTTCTAGTTCAGTTCTAGTTCAGTTCTAGTTCAGTTCTAGTTCAGTTCTAGTTCAGTTCTAGTTCAGTTCTAGTTCAGTTCTAGTTCAGTTCTAGTTCAGTTCTAGTTCAGTTCTAGTTCAGTTTCTAGTTCAGTTCTAGTTCAGTTCTAGTTCAGTTCTAGTTCAGTTCTAGTTCAGTTCTAGTTCAGTTCTAGTTCAGTTCTAGTTCAGTTCTAGTTCAGTTCTAGTTCAGTTCTAGTTCAGTTCTAGTTCAGTTCTAGTTCAGTTCTAGTTCAGTTCTAGTTCAGTTCTAGTTCAGTTCTAGTTCAGTTCTAGTTCAGTTCTAGTTCAGTTCTAGTTCAGTTCTAGTTCAGTTCTAGTTCAGTTCTAGTTCAGTTCTAGTTCAGTTCTAGTTCAGTTCTAGTTCAGTTCTAGTTCAGTTCTAGTTCAGTTCTAGTTCATTTCTAGTTCAGTTCAAGTTCAGATCTAGTTCTGTTCTACTTCTGTTCTAGTTCTGCTCTAGTTCTGTTCTATTTCTGTTCTAGTTCTGTTCTAGTTCTGTTCTAGTTCTGTTCTAGTTCTGTTCTAGTTCTGTTCTAGTTCTGTTCTAGTTCTGTTCTAGTTCTGTTCTAGTTCTGTTCTAGTTCTGTTCTAGTTCTGTTCTAGTTCTGTTCTAGTTCTGTTCTAGTTCTGTTCTAGTTCTGTTCTAGTTCTGTTCTAGTTCTGTTCTAGTTCAGTTCTAGTTCAGTTCTAGTTCAGTTCTAGTTCTGTTCTAGTTCTGTTCTAGTTCTGTTCTAGTTCTGTTCTAGTTCTGTTCTAGTTCTGTTCTACTTCTGTTCTAGTTCTGTTCTAGTTCTGTTCTAGTTCTGTTCTAGTTCTGTTCCAGTTCTGTTCTAGTTCTGTCTAGTTCTGTTCTAGTTCTGTTCTAGTTCTGTTCTAGTTCTGTTCTAGTTCTGTTCTAGTTCTGTTCTAGTTCTGTTCTAGTTCTGTTCTAGTTCTGTCTAGTTCTGTTCTAGTTCTGTTCTAGTTCTGTTCTAGTTCTGTTCTAGTTCTGTTCTAGTTCTGTTCTAGTTCTGTTCTAGTTCTGTTCTAGTTCTGTTCTAGTTCTGTTCTAGTTCTGTTCTAGTTTCTGTTCTAGTTCTGTTCTAGTTCTGTTCTAGTTCTGTTCTAGTTCTGTTCTAGTTCTGTTCTAGTTCTGTTCTAGTTCTGTTCTAGTTCTGTTCTAGTTCTGTTCTAGTTCTGTTCTAGTTCTGTTCTAGTTCTGTTCTAGTTCTGTTCTAGTTCTGTTCTAGTTCTGTTCTAGTTCTGTTCTAGTTCTATTCTAGTTCTGTTCTAGTTCCGCACTGTTCTAGTTCAGTGCTAGTTCATTTTAAAAAAACTTCAAAAGATTATTCTAATTAAATTCTTTAATTGCAATATGTATTTACATTCACATATTAAAAACATTCTATCAAAAATGTTTCATTGTCTACTTTTAGGTTAAATTTTTAACCAACTAATACATTTGACAAGTTTAATGAATTGTTATTTAAATAAACTAGAGATTTAAATTAAAAAATGTTATTTATTGTTTAGATATTTTTCAATTAGCAAAATAATTTTGAAATAAAATAGGTAAATAGTTGTTTTATTATTTTGCTGGATTTATATGAATTTGTTTATAAAACTTGTTGTCTACTTTTAGGCTACAATTTATAAAATAAAATTTCATAGCCTAGTTAGAGGTTGTGTGTGTGCATATGTTTTTATTTAAATAATATAAATAAAATAAATTGTGAAAATAAACTCCCCCTAAACATATACGGTAAAACTTTTGAATAAACATTTTTTAAGCAAAAATAATTAAAAATAAAATTTTTTATTTAAATACTTTTTTGTTGTTATATCTGTATGTATTTATTTGTGTTATTTTTATATTTTTATTTAAGAAACAAAGTTTTTTTTAAAGCACTAGTGTTGTGTTTTTTTTGTTGTGTTCGAAAAAAACTTTAAATATTTCTTTAAATACATAATAATTTATTTATTTACCTAAAAGGCTGCAGCAAATTTAAGCAAATTGATTATTGTACAATGTTGTTGTGTTTTTTTATCATTCTGGAAAGAGTTGTGTTTGTTGTGTTCGTTTTTTAACCATATCGAAAGTACATATTACGAGTTGTGTTGTTTTCAGTTTCAGTTTCAATTGCGTTTTCTGGTTTAGAAAAAGTGGCTCCAATTATTTAGTGCAAGAACATTTAGAAGCTTAAATTAAAATTTTTATTATAGTTTTTTCTCTTTAATATTTTTAATTATTATTTTGTAAATTTACTATTATTGTTTTTTAGTGTTTACCTTCTTTTTTTTTGTTGCAAAAACGTTTATTATCTAAAAAATGTTTTTTGTTATTTTATAACAAACTTGTGTAAATTAAAAATTTATATTTAAAATATGTGTGTTTTCTTTTCATTCTCCGCTCTAATCCATCAGTCTATTGTGGTTGCTTGCAACCACACATGGGAGTTTTACATTGTTAGGGAAACTATTGTAAAATATATGACCAACGTATTGAAAAATAACAAATGCTAAGGGCAGCTAACATTTGGCTGCATATGTTTAATTAATTGCTTCAATACTTGTATATTTATTGTTTTTATTGTTATGCTGTCTTTTTAATGCTTAATTTCTTTATTGGCAATGAACTTGCTAAAATGTCAATAAAATGTTTCGTATATAAAATTTAGGTTATATTTGCAATGTTGTCATTCAAACTGCAAACAATATGGAGATTTCCGATTGGCATTATATTTCTTAATTACCAAATAATTATTTTATATTAAAATATTTAATTATTGTTAATGTCAAGTTTACTTAGTGAGTCATATATCAGTTCCAGTTCTGTTTTAGTTCAGTTCTAGTTCAGTTCTAGTTCAGTTCTAGTTCAGTTCCAGTTCAGTTCCAGTTCAGTGTCAGTTAGTTCAGTTCTAGTTCAGTTCTAGTTCAGTTCTAGTTCAGTCAGTTCTAGTTCAGTTCTAGTTCAGTTCTAGTTCAGTTCTAGTTCAGTTCTAGTTCAGTTCTAGTTCAGTTCTAGTTCAGTTCTAGTTCAGTTCTAGTTCAGTTCTAGTTCAGTT